GGCTGAGATGCGCGCTTCGCGATCGGCACGACGTTGTTCAGACTCGTCAACAGGGTTGTCGTAAGCTCCAACGGTAATAGGTCGACCTCTACCACGTCCAGGTGCGGCACGGCGGTCAGGGTAGTGGGGCAGAGAGGGTAGGGAGCGGGCTGGTTCATATGCTGAAGAGTGTCCACGGCCACGTCCAGAGCCAGAAGCGAGACCACGAGCGCGTGATCCAGTGAGAAGTAAGTCTCGATCGGCTGTGGTACCGAAGAGTGCGTCAGTATCGGTGAGGACAATGCGCGGGACGGAGGTTCCGAGCTGGGTCGGGTTCGGGGCCTGACTCGGGGTCGATTGCGGTAGATTGGGTAGGGGAGGGGTCGAGTATGATACGGCCCTGCTTCTGTTACGGTTACGACCAGCAGGGACGTTGGTATCGCGTCGGGTGGTGTTAGTTCGGGGGTCCAAGTATACTTGGTTCGCGCGGCGAAGGCAGGCCTGGATCTGTTCCTCCGAGAGAGGCTGTTGTTGCGGCTGGCCCTGATTATCTTGGTTCACAGGCTGGGCCTCACATTGGTCTTGGAAGCCAGTCTGTGCTCCATCACCCTTCTTCCCCTCGTGCTTGTCGTCCAGGGGCAGTTTGGGGAATGGAGCCATCTCGGATTATCCTCGGGGGATGCGGATTATTGTGAGAGCCGAACTGGTGATGAATTCACCGAAGTTTTTCCGAGTTTTCGGTGAGGCAAGGTGTGGAGGGAAGGTGCACGGTTCAAGTGCGAGTAAGGCAGGCAGAGATTTCGGTGAGTCATTCGGTGTGTGAATGCCGGATCAGAAAAGTCACATGATTTGTCTTTATCTGATATGCAATACAGCCTAATGCTTCACACTGCACCCCCCCACCTGGTCAACCCAGGTGCACGCTCCAAAGCTTAAGCCCATGAAAGGGTGTTCCCGTCGATGCGCCCAGAGTGGTATACCTTTGCCGTCCAACTTATCGCTGCGCCCTTCTCACCTTCAGGCCAAACTCACGAGTGCAGTGCCGTCTCGCCACTAGGATCAAACCTGTCTTTATCTTCAATGTATTGGTCAGGTCTCTCACTCGACGAAACACTCCACAGACAACGTCCTTAGCGTCATCGCTCACCGTTCTGCTGCACCATCGCCGTTCAACACCTATCGCATAGGCCCAGACGCCACGTAGCGCCAGGAACCCAACATGCAGGACAGCCAGGCCTCTCGCAAGGCCAACGGTGTTCTGCCCATGCCTGCAAACCCGTCTGCCACCGACGCCCCGAGCGCATCACGATCCAACAAGAGCAAGACGCCCGTCGAAGGCGACAAGGTCATCATCAGGAGGCTGCCCCCAGGCATGACGGAGGAGGAAGTCTGGACCATTCTGGGCGACAAGTGGAAGGCTGGCAATGGCCTCGTCGACTGGAGTGACTTCGCCCGGGGCAAGGTGTCGCAAGAGTAGGTTGATGCGGCTCGACGGAAACTATCCTGCGCACGGCTGATCAATGTTACAGCCCGGCCAAGTCGTCAAGGCCCGGCCGGCTATACCTGCACGTCAAGAAGCGCGAAAGCCTGGCGGAGCTCGACGAGATTGTGCAGACGAGGACCTGGGAGGACACCAAGCTCACCCACAACAACCCATGCCTCGTTGGGCCGCCATCCCTAGAATACTGCATCTACAAGAAGATACCCGGTGCCAGGAAACGATCCGACGCCAGGCAGGGGACGATCGACCAGGATCCAGAGTTTATGAGTTACCTCTTGTCTCTGACCAACCCGGAGACGGAGAAGGAAGGCGAGACAGGCGAAGATCCGTCAGCAGGAGAGAGCAAGCCGGACACCAAGGTCACGACTACGCCTCTCATCGAGTACATCAAGGAGAAGAAGGCGAACAGGGCGAAGGAGGCCGCTGCAGCAAAGAGCGCTAAGCATGCTCGCCAGGAATCCCAGAGCACCAAGAACAGCAAGGCCAACGCCGACGACGGCAAAAAGTCCAAGAGAGACAGGGACGGCAAATCCAACAAGTCGCCCGAAAAGCCGAAAGAGACGGTGCGCATCCTGACGAAAAAGGCGACGGCCGAGGCGGCCAAGGCTGCGGAGAGTGCGGCGAGCCAAATCAACGAGGCTACGGCGGCGGCTGCTTCCTCTTCTGAGGCCCCGAAGAGCCGACGGGCTAACATTGCGGCCGCCGCACGTCTTCTTCAGAGGGATCTTGGCTTGAGTCCGGGAAGCGCGCATAGGAGGGCGCGACTTAACGCAGCCAAGACAGAGGCAGAATCCAAGACCTCGTCTGCCAAGGAGTCCAGCACGGCCGCGAGCGAAGCGACGCCGGCAGCCAGCTCATCCACGCCTAGCCCAGCCACGACTGCCCAGCCGGCCGAGAAGCCAACTACCCCGACTGCCCCCAAGTCAGGCCGATCGCGCCGGGGCGGCGGCGGCGGGAAGAACGCGGCTGACGCAAAGAACAAGGGGGCGGAAAATGCTACCGCACCGGCCGCCTCCACACCAGCAAAGACGCCAGTTGTCCTCCTGCGGAAGAAGGAATCTGCTCCAGCACCCCAAGCAGCGGCCGCCACCACCGCAGCAGCAGCAGCAACAAGCAGCGAGACAGCGGCACCTACCGCCGCCGCGGGCCCCAAACCGGCCTCGACACCCACAGGGCCCAAGGGCTCAGGCAAGGGCTCCGGGTCCAAAAAGTCAGGCGCAGGCGTGACGGCCGGCGCGACCCGCGGCTTCGTCAAGCACGCCAACCCCTCGCAGGGCATCACCGAGGCCCTGCTCAAGGCGACCCTCGAGACGTTTGGCGTCGTCACCTTTGTCGAGATTGACCGCCGCAAGGGCTTCGCGTACGTCGACTTTGCCGACCACGCGTCGCTCGTCAGGGCCATCACTGGCAGTCCCGTCACCGTGGCCCAGGGCACTGTGCAGGTTCTCGAACGAAAGGAGAAGAAGCCGGCTGGTGGAGGTGGCGGTGGCGGTGGCGGCGGCGGCGGCACCCCAGCGGCAGCATCGTCCTCATCAGCAGCAGCAGCAGCATCAGGAACAGGAACGGCAGCGCCAGCCGCGTCGACGACGACTGCCACCCCCGCGGCTTCGTCATCGTCGGGCCCCGCAGAAAAGACAGAGCACACGGGGTCTGGAGGTCGGAGGAACAGACGCGGTCGCGGCGGCGGCGGCGGGAACAAGGCAGCCGCATCAGGGGAAGGCGGTGGCGGCGGTGGCGGCGGTGGCGGGCAGCGAGGAGGCGGCGGCTCCAAGGGTGCGGCTGCGGGGGCCAGTTGAAGCAGCACTTCGATCACGATGCAGAAGCGCGCCGTGGGTGAACAGTTATACCCATGTGGACCTCAGGGATATCCCGCTGGCCCCCTTTCGAACAGGCACTGCCACAAAGCAGCAGCAGCAGCGTCGATACGCCAACGTCGAGCCAGCTTCACTCATATGTGAGCCGAGTCTCTAGCACTCTAGGCGGTTGATTGTTCAGATCTCGATGCACGGCACTCACGGCCGGAAGGATATCATTAGAATGGTGTCAAGGCAACGATACATCAGCGTTGTTTTCAAATCATCTAATACAGACTCCAAACTCCCTCGGCCGGTATACAGCTAGATAGCAACAAGCCTATCGAAACAGAAATACACGGGAAAACAACATGTTACGATTTTCCAAACACAACCGCAGTGAAACCCCAGACAAGCAGAGACAGCAGCACGCCGAGAAGGATGCCATCACGCTCCCTCACGGCGCGCCCCAATTTTGCCCTCCCCTCGGCAAGGATCAAGACCTCGCCGGCCTCACGCCTCGCTGCCTTGAGAGCAGGCAGACCGTCAATGCTCGTGACGTTCTTTTCAACCTGGTACTCCTCGACCTTGCCGTTCTCGGCCCTCTTGCGCCAGTAGTCATCCAAAGTGTGCCTATCCTGGAAGATAGACAGCTCCTTGCCACCCTCCTCGTCGCTGTCATCGCCCTCTGCACCGCGTTCATACACCTCCTTCTTAACGATGGGCACGCCGAACCCGCAACTCGTCTGCACCTCCCAGACGCGACCGACAATGACGGCTCTCGCACCCTCCATACCGCCACCCTCGCGGTCCTGTACGACGCGAGCCATCCATTCCTCAAACCTCGGTGTGCCGCGCTCAATCACCTCAGCATTACAAAAGAGGCGTAGAATGCGCGGCAAGGTGCCAAAGGACATAAACATGAGCGTCAATCGACCATTTTCGTACGCATGCGCAATGGTCTCGCATCCGGAGCCGGAACGGTCAATGTAAGCGACCGTGTTGGCGTCCAGGAAGGCGAGATGCGAGGCGGCGAGTCCCTTGGGGGAGACGTTGACATGCGGGGCGTGGGTGGGAGCCGATGCCGTAAGGAAGAACGGCTGGCGGGCTGCCCAGGTTGCGAGGTTGGGGGGAATAGATGGGTAGAGCTTCATCGTGGGGTACGAAAACAAAAAGAGACAGCCTGGGTGTTCAGCCGCGATTGTGGCTGCGGGGTTCTGGGTATTGTAGTTGGCCGATTTGGCCGGGATTTGGTTGGGAGAAAGGAGACACACTCGCACAGAGGGGAGGGGGGGCAGTGCAGCCAAATATGTGAGAAGATGCAGCATGGAGCAGTCTCAAAAAGGCAATCCCGTCGACAGCTGGGCGGGTGACTCCCTCTAGTGAGTCAGACACCGTGATCGGCTGTACCTGGCCGTACATCCTGACATTCAGCCATGGTGCCTTAGATGCAGAAATGATTTCACCGCTGGAAAGAAGGGTCCAGCCATGCCTCGCATCCCATCAAGCATCGCTCGAGTCGAGATGAACGTGCGAATTAAGGCGTTCTGCGGCCGCTCCCGTGGCGGCGATGCATTCAGGTGGGTCAGGACCAACGTCCTAGCCGTCGACATCAGGCTGCGTGTTTCCCAATGCAGTGTCGTTCATTGCTGAAAGTATCCATCCAGTCATGCTTCCGTGGTTTCTCACCTGCGCGACTTGTTCTTCTTCTCCGGCAGGGGGTGGGCCTAATAGTCGCCCGTCTCAAACTCGCTCTCGTCATAAGAGACGGAGTTGCTGTACCCGGCGGCATAACGGGGAACCTGAACAGAGCGAGGTGTGCTGGTACTGGTGCTGCCCACTGGCCGGCCGCCGGAAGAAGCGCCATATGGGACGTAATCACGGCCGGATCGCGGGTTCTGTACCGCCGGCTCGTTGGCCACGGATCGATGGCCGGGGCCGAATGGCTCGATGTAGCTGGTGCGACGAGAGCGGCCCGAGTGCCCCGAATGCCCTGACTGTCCCGAGTAACCCGAGTTTGCAGAGTGGGAGCTCGAAGGACCCTTTTCCTCCTTGTTGTCGAAGCGGCTTCGAAGACGCTTGTCTTCGGCGTGTCGCTCCTTCTCCTCGCGATGCTTCTCCTTCCTGTCGCTCTCCGTCCGCGGCAGCTTGTGATCCGATGGCACTCTGGGAGAGAAGGAGGGGCCGGGGCCGAGCGGGGCCGAGACGTTGGGTTCCTGCGGCGGGCTGTGGCGGAATCGTCGCAGATCCTCCCGCAGTCGGTCTGCCTCGTCAGCCTTGTCACGCAACGCATCTTGCAGCTTGCGGATACTGGTGGCGTGGGTTTTTTGGTCCGCCTCGAGCAGAGAGTTGTTCAGGCTGAGGGCACGGAAGCTGGCGTCGAGATCACGGTGGTCGGAGCGGGCCACGCGTAGGTCCTCTTCGAGCTCTCTGTATTTCTGTTTCCACAGGTCGAGGTCGAACCTCGCGGCGTCGAGGGCTTCGCGGAGAGCGCGGGGACTCTGAGACTGCTGCTGGTAGCCTTGGGCTGTGAAGTTCCCATCAGGATTGGCTGCAAGACTATCTTGGTCGCTCAACGAACCGACGCCCGAGTCGCTGGCTTTGTGGTGGTGACTTTTGGGGCTGCTGGAGCTGTGCGTCTTCTTGTAAGAAGTGGAAGAACGGTCCTTCTTGCCGGATGAAGACATGGCTACCGAAGGCTGCTGTGCTGCTTCAGGCTGCTGTGCTGCTTCAGGCTGCTGCACTGCTTCAGGCTGCTGTGCCGGCAGCAGGGGGGTGCCGGGTGTTGATTCGATGGCTTGGGGCTCGCGAAGATGTAGTTGTGCCCAATGGACCGAGTCAGGCTGGACGAGAGAAGCCCGCGGAGCGAATTGTTTTTTTTTTTTTTTTTTTTTTTTTTTTGGTTGGTAGACGAGGCTGTGGTGGATGGTTTTATTGTAGGAGGCTCTGAAGCGGGATGGTGCCTGTGGGGTGTTCAGGTCCAGAAGAAGTCGGCAAATGTAGGAGAAGACAAATCTTGGGTTCTCAACCGAGATAAGGCAAGGAGAGAGAGAGAGAGGGCCGTATATGAGAATGAGACTGAGCGGCACGGATGTCTGGAGTGGAATGGAGAGGCAGACTGCGGGACGAAGGGGCGTTGGATTCTCTTTTATTCCATGGAAAGACTTGGAGCCGCTGAGCTCACGAGTCGATATGGCCCATGGCCCATGGCTCCAGCCAGACGGAAAGGGTGTGTTGCTGCCTCCGGGCTAAGGAGGCTACAACGGAGGCAGCCACGGGGTGCAAGTACCGCGGCGAGCATGTTCACCGGCGGGACGAGGCTCCATGCGGGATGCGAGGCGAGGTACCCAGGACATGGCAGGACCCTCGCTCGAGGAGGGCACAACAGGATGTGCCTTGGCGCAGCCAAATCCAGTCATCAAACAGGCAGGCATCGCGCAAGCGGGCAATTCATGGGTGGGGAAGGGGGGGAAGGGGGGGAAGGGGGGAGTGCCGGCCCATCCCAGCCCGTACTTGGCCACCTTTGCATGGAGGGTAGGGGCACAAGGCAGGAGGGTATACTGGAGGGTGTAAGTCGTGGAAAACAAAGAGGCCCAAGTAGAAAAAGGCACCTGTATGGGATGTAGCAAGTGCTGACCGCGTCCGAATCTGGCCTGCCGAGCACATCCATGCCGACACTCCCCTGGTGCCTCTCATTGGTGCAGTCGAGGCTGTGCTGGAGAGGAAGGGGGGGAAGGGAAGGGTGCGCAAGTGGGCAAGTGGGCCCAGGGGGGGGGGGACAAGGGAAGCCACTACGATGGAGGCAGTGAAGAAACGGCAGCAGCATTGGCAGCCTGATTTCGCCGACGAGTAGTGATTGCCTTGTCTGGTCTGGACCAACTGGCAGGGGCAAGGTGCGGGAGATGGTTGGAAGTGCCGCTGGTTGCCTCTTCCTTCCTCTTCCGCAGCGAGGTTCGCAAATTGGTGCGCCACAAAGGATCGAGCAGACGTCTGCTTTGCCTCATTCTCACTCACACTCATCCTGTTCTTCTCCCCAAAAAGTCCTACGGTCGCAAAGTCCTGTTCTTTCTCAGCCCCCACGGCCCGACACGTCTCAGACGGACCGGTCACCAGCCTCAACAGCGCCAAGGAGGGACTCGCAGCCTGGAGGGATTCTGGTTGCGCGATGCGCGATGCGTGATGTGTGATGCGCGATGCGCGTTGCGAAATTGCGTGGGCGTGATTGCGTACCCCCGTGATTGCGTGAGTCACTCTGCGCGAGGAGGATTGGGGATTGGTCATGTCGCGCATTAAGGGTTTGGCCCATGTCGCGTGGTGTCTCCTCGTCTCGCTGCACAGCACGTCGTCTGTCGTTCGTCGCCAGAAGCCTGCATCCATGCCAGACACTTGATGGCGCGCATGCATCATCTTTGACCTTGGCGCCTCGCCTTGTCCGCACCACGGGCCCTCGGCGATTTCATTCGTTCGTGGCAGGCATCTCGCGCGGGCCTCTGGCGGTGGACCATGAATAGACTTTGACAGGGCTGGTTCGTGGTGACAAGCTCGATACTACATGTACCGACAGGCCACTACGCAAATGGGCAAGCTCCCGCCCGTCACTGCAGGCACCCATCGGCCCGGCAGCGGCCCAAGGACAAACGCAACGGCGCCTACCGTGCACTACAAGGAGGTCTATGTGTACCTATGAGAACACAAAGCCCTGTAAGTCCTTCTTTCCTTGCAGCGTTGTTGCTGCACGCCGAAACGCGAACGAAAGCTGGCAGTGGAAGACAAAGAAAAGTGACAATGCCAAGACTGCGCGCTCGAGTATGCCTTGCCAGTCGCCCTCAACCAGCTTTCGTTTCCTCCGATACCTGGCATGCCCGGGTACCATGTACATGCCCGAGTACCCAGGTACACGGCCCTGATGATCATCACTTTGTCTCTTGTCTCTTGCCAACGCTTTGCTGTCGCCGAGTAACGAGATGCTCGCTCAGAGGGCTCCGCGTCATCGCAAGCAGCATGAACCCCTTCTCCAGCGCCTGCGAAGAATCGTGCCTTGCAGCATGCACCACGCCTTCGCCCAGCCTTTGTGACGTGGAGGTATCGCCGCCCCGAACGCCGCTCGAGCACACCCGCTGCCAATCCCCTCGGGCTTGGACGGTTTACACCCTCCAGGATCACCGCTGCGGCTCACTGCACAGCAAGCATACACCTTGCCTTTCCTTCCTGGGTATTCATTCCTACCTACCTTACCTTGCCTATCTGGGCAGTTCTACCTATCCAGGAACCCGGGTAGGGTATCGCCACTAAAATGATCCACGTTCACTGCAAATCATTCCCCACAGGCCTAAGTTCGACCGTCCATAGGGCTGAGACCCGCCACCTGACGAGGCTATGCGCCTGTTGCCCCTCTCCGCATCCCTGGTCGACTGTTTGAATTGATGTCCATGGCGATGTCCATGGCGATGTCCTGTCCCAAACCGTTCTCGCCGCATCCTGATCGAATCCATCCCAGACAAAAGAAAGATGACTTGGTCAGAGTTCCAGAAGCGCCCAAGGATGCAAGGCCGCGAACTGCTGAACGTACCCCGCCGCGCGGCTGCCAGAGGCTGAGCCCCGAGGACTACACCACCGATCATCGTCACTTTGCACGTGCCCTGCCGCCCCCTTTTCCCCTTGTCACTTGCGCCTTGAAACGCCATTGTCTCTTCGCCACGAGTATGTTCTTTTTTTATAGACCTTCTTGTTTTTTTCTTTCAGTTCCCGTTTCCGTTTCCCGTCTGACCACCCTCGTGATTCTTCTGCCCGCCGGGATCGAAATCCATCCTGCTGTGCAGTTCATGCAGGCCCAGAGCTTGGGCATCTCGCTCTCATCAGACGCCGAACACGTAGGATAGGGACCCCTGAGCAGCTGAACAAACGTCGTTTCACGTGCAAATGGCCAGCGAGAGAGTGCTTGGCTCCGTGAACTCTCCCTCTGCCATTCTTGGCCCCCACGTAGGTCACGCATCCCCAGACTGTAAGTGATGTGGATTGGTCAGCTCTGACTTGGCGTTTGCCTGCTCTGGAGGAGCACGCTGCCAAGTCCGGCGCAACCTCCGACTCGGCACCGACTTCGTTCACCCACTCGGCCCATGGATCGAAATGTCTCTATGCGCTGGAGGACCTGGGCTGACGACGGAGTGCGCATTCCTGCCGAGGCTCAGCCAATCATACAGTGTGAGCCATAGATTGATTAGACTCCCCGTCCTGCAGCCAGTACATTCTGCTACCGAAGCAGATGGCAGGAAAAGGCCTACCTGGTCCATGGATGATGAGCCTCATTCTCTCTAGATCCCATTCCCCTACTTCACACCTGTATACTGACTGGCACGTAGTCATGACAGAAAAAAAAAATGGTATCTATGTAGCTACATTCAAAACAAGACGCATACGCAAACGTCGACAGCATCTGAAGACATGGCCCTATTCCCTCGTAAATCGTGACATGGGGGATGCCAAATGAATGATCCGCCGCAACTCAACCGTCCTTCCCGCTACAGGCAGGGAAAGAAACAAAAGGAATTGAAAAAAAAGACCGGTCACCCGTCCAGAAAAACCCTTATCATTGACAGACAGAAAGGAGATGGTCAGGAAACACCAAATGCAAGACCAAACCACCACCGTATCCCATGTCCTCCCTCACCGCGGCACAAGCCCATGCCGCCTCATGATTCGCTCATACGCCTCGATGCGCTCGAACTGTTCCGAAATGACCGAGTTTCGATTATCCAGATCGCGGCGCAGACGAATATTGTGCTCGTCCACGACCTCAAACTTGCGCTTCCAGTCGTGGATGATGCCCGTCAGGTCGTCGATGCGATCCTGGACGCCGTGACCGGCCCTCCGCAGCATATCCTTGAGGCGGTCGTTGAGCCCGCCAATCTCCCTGTCGGCCTTGAGCAGCCTCTGCTTGAGGCGTTCAATTTCGCGGTAGTGCTTCTCCGAGTGGCCGCCGGCGCTGTCGAGCGACCTCTTGAGCGCGGCATTGTCGGCGGCGAGACACTGGATGCGGTCCTGCAGCTGCGGCACCCAGGCCTGGTAGCGGCGCAGCTCGCCGTCCGTGGCCTGCAGGGTGCATTTGAGGGTGTAATTGTCACGGGTCAGCACGTCGTTGGCGTCGCGCAGGCAGCGCTCCCGCTCGACGAGAGCTTTCCAGTCCTCCCTGCTGACGAAGCAGTCGTCGTGCTCGATGGGCCGGTGGTGATGGTGGTGGTGGTGCGAGCGAGAGCGCTTCAGGGTGACGAATTGCGGCCGGCCGGAGGGAGACGTCTCGATGTAGTAGCGACGAGACATGAGAGAGGGAGCACAGAGAAGAGACTCAAGGTTCGGGATGCTCTGTTCGGCGTCCACCTTGACGGGATCAATGCGGTTGGCACCCGAGGACTGTTGCCAATGGATGTCGTGGGTGAGTATCGGTGGTGTCGACGGCTATGTTTGTTCTCGTTGTCGTAGTTCTCGTTGTTGTAGTCGTTCGCGTGCTGATGTCAAACAGGGTCTCTTTGCTTCGCTTTTCGATGTCAGACACGCTTTGGTTCGGGTTCTTCTTGGTGATAGTGACGGGAAGGCAGAAAGCGGATAGATGACGTTCAGGGATGGACAAAATGTTGGACATGGGGGCAATGGAAAATAGGAGAATGGCAGCTCGATAACGTCTCACAAGTACCCAACACGGCGTCAAGTCCACAAGACGATACAGACCACTGCAGGTGACCAAAGCAGGGGACCTCGAGTCGGGTCGAGTCGCAGAACAGAACGAATGAGCGTCAGTGTGACCTGCCAAAGGAGCATGATACGGCACGGCGTGGGCTGGCATGGCTCGAGCGGACGCGGGACAGCCTTGTCTTAAAGGAAGCGAACAAGGGCAACGACATTTTTGGTCGCTCGCTGCCTGTGCCAGGAGAAGACTCGACCGCTTGCAGGACACCCACCCCACTACCCTCCCCCTCCCCCCGCAACAAAACAAGCAGAGGGAGGGAGCGAGAGCCATGGTCAAAGACGCCCCAACGGCGCACTGTACCCTTCGACAAGACCGAGCAGCGAAGAGAGGAGCCGAAAGCAGGCACGCGGGCTGGGCGCATGGCCCGGCGAGAGGGTGTCGAGCGGGAGGGAAGGGTGACGGAAGACCTCTGTCAGGTACACGGGATGACCTGCAGCGATCCACGGCGACGAGGTCCCTGACCGGGCTGATCGAGACACAAGTGTCATTCAGCGATGTAGTCATACAGCGGTATTGTGTGTAGAAGAACATGAGATCCAGGCCACGAGTTGGTAGCCATGTCTTGGGTCTCGAAAAGAAGGGGGGTCATTCGCTTTTCGATCCAGCCTTGAGGTCTTGAAGAGGGGGGGGGAAGAGAGCGAACGAGGTTGCGCACGTCGTGAGGCTTGGCTCAAGGCACCCAACGACAGCCAGGGGAGGGGGGGCTAATTCAGGGTCGTTCAACGGCGGCCCCCGATACAACCACTTCTTCGGAACGCGGATGCTTTTGTCTTCGCCATGCAGGCGGGATTAGGGCCAGATGTTGGGATGCGAGAAGAGTTCGCTTCCTCAGTGCGAACGAGGCGAGAGGTCGTCGTTGGGTGTTCACCTGGTTGGTTACTGAGAGGCGTGGGTCTGGTGACGTTTTGGGAATGACCTTTGTTCTGCTTACCACATCCATGTAAGCATCCATGCAAGTATCCCGGTACCCCGCCTTGCCCGCCCCTCCGGCTGGCAGGAACTATGGAGACGAAGAGCGACTTGGCGGGCGGCTGCGCTTGCTGGCGGCCTCCGTACCAGCCGGGGACGTCGCCTTGCTTCATCGTGGGGCCTGCGCCTCATCTGGGCTGGCCGAGCCACACTCTCTATTGGATGATCCTCTTTGCCAGAGAGGTACTTGGGTGCAGTACCTACCTTGCCTACCTAGGTACCTTAGGTACCTTAGGTACCTACAAGACGCAGCCTCCTCTCTCACATCAACTCGTGCATCAACCCAACATCAACGACAAAGAAAGAGCCCTCGATCATGCACCTACACAGCCGCACAAAGCACAAAGCCTGACCAGCCCCTCTCGACTCGAAACTATCTCGACGACAAGGCCCCATGATGTGCTTCAGCGTCTTTGACCAATTTGCCACTTCTTGCCACGACAGGATCTCCTGTGCCTACAGGCAGGGAAGGAAGGTACGCATCCAGCTTCAGACGAAGGATCGAAATCCTGTCTCAACCCATCAGCACTTGCACCGGCCTGTCATATTTTTGAGATCGTGGAGAGCAGATGGCTTTTGGCTACCTCTCGTGTCTGAACTGCGAGACGACTAAACTCACCGATGGTAGGGGAAGTTGGATCAACGGTCAGCTGTGAGCAGTGCCTCATCAGCTTGGCCCAAAGTTGCAATGCGCCCGATGGTGCCCTTGTCCATTGCTTCAAACGCCCTCCCCCGACAAGATACCGCTTCACTGCGAGATTCGATTTCAATTTGAGAGCCCAAAGACCCCAACATGGTGCGAAAGCCAGTCGGCTTGGTCCAGCGACGGGACCACCACGTGGGGAGCAGGTTGGCGTGTGTACTGCCTCGAGCCTAGGCCGACCATCCTGGGCCGCCTTGCCAGCCCTTTGTCTGATTCTCCCGCCAAAAACCTGCTGCTGCCTGGTGTCTTCCCTACACGAGCATCACGGCAGCAGGCGACGGGCCATGCGTTTTTGGGCCCAGATGCCCTCTATGGTCCCGAGTTGCGGACCACAGCGGCCATATCAGGGTCCACGTCATTGCTTTGATCGCAGCTAACTGTGCCAAGTTCTACATGTTTCTACAGTTTAAGGGGTTCCCCCACGCTCTGCTTGTCATCTCGCCAACTCGTGCTCAGTCATCCGTCACCGGACCTCAGAGAACAGCATTGACGCCCCATCCGCCCGGCCACCCCCCACCAACCCCCGGATACTCAGCGAACCTTCGTCGGCCCACAGAGTCTCGTTGGTTGTGATCTGAGCAGCATGTAGGGTCGGTGCCTGTCAGCTGGACCATGTTGGTGCATCCTGGATGGCGGCACGGTGTGTGCGCCGAACAGTAACGACTCCTCTCCGCCGACTGCTGTGTGCAGCTGTCATGGTGGCATGCGTGGCCGTTGCAGTACGGCGATAAAGGCCATTGATTGCCCATCATGATCATGACCGGTGGCAATGACATGTTGCAGCGAGGATGCGGGCATGTGACGACGCCGCACTTGTGCACGCCGCAGAGCGTCCCGCAATGTGAGCGCTGCCCTCCGCAGCCTCGGAACTCGCAGATGTGGTTTCGGCAAAACTCCTTGTCGTCAACCGCCCTAGCCTCACAGTCCTGTATTCGGCATTTCGGGAAGAAGTCTGCATCCGACAATGGATCAGCATGCCTTGCTGCCTGGGAGGCCGATCACCTGGGGGTGCTGGAGAGCAAGGGAGAGGAAGTGGGAGTTGGAAGGGCAAAACTCACGCTCTTCACACCAATCCCTGACGTTCGATCCGTCCGCAAAGCGGAACCGATCGCATCCTACCATGCTACACGTGCCATGTTTCGAGCAGTAATGGTCTGTCGTCCCCTCCTCGGCACACCCAGGCTTCCCGCACTGGTGCTCGGGACAGTACTCGCCCCTCCACCTCCTGAACCGACACGCCTTCGTATCGCACTCGTGATTCTTGCAGAAAAATCCCTCGGCGCTCGTTCTCCCCTTGACGCACGCTACCTCGATGCAGCTGTGCGCCTTGCAGTGCTCGCCTTCCCCGGCATCCTCCCGCGCCTGCTCGCAGCCGTCCCACGCGCAGTAGTGCGCGCCGCAAAAGTTGGACAGCCCTCCGTTCTCCCGCGCGTGCGTAAAACGTTCGCACTGGTCGTGCTGGCAGACTCGGTGTCGGTCGCAGTAGCGCGTCGGCTCGCCTGGACCACCGCCGCCAACGGCGAAGGCGAGGCAGTTGGGCGCCTCGCACGTGTGGGAGGCGCAGAACGGCCCTGTGTGCTTCGGCCTGTCGCAGCCTGGGCTGGTGCAGCGGTGGTCGGCGCAGAACTTGAGGTCTGACTCACCGCTGTAGAAGCGTTCATTCTTGCAGTCGAGCGCCAAGCAGTTGTCTGTCATGCTGCGTGAGGGGACGAGCCAACGTGGTGGTGTGCGGCATGGGACGTACGGTATTGTGCGCAGAACTTGAACTCCTTGGGATCATAGCCCCTGACGGCGTTGGCACACCGCGTGCCGTTGACCTGGCCTTGGCACTGAATGTCTAGATCGCTCCATGATTAGCACGGACGGATCATGATGAAGAGGGGCTAGGCCTACGTCGCTGGCAGAACCCCTTTGCATTGATCCTCATGTCTTGACAGGCTGCCCCGTCGACCTTCTTGCAGCAGTGGTAACGGCAGTACGGACTCGGGAACCGGACGCCATCTTTGCTCAGCGTCACCTTGCCCTGGTTGCAGCGGCCTTGGATCGTGACGTAGTTGCAGCGTCGGCGGTCCTCTTCGGGCTTCAGCTTCTTTCGTTTGGCGCCGAACATGGTAGAAATTAAGGAAGAAAAAAATCGTGGATAGTGCAGAAAAGAAAGTCTGATCTCGTCTTTCGTGTCAAAGTTGTAGGTGACAGCTAGCATTCGAATTCGTATCAATTCGTGGAAAGGGGAGACGGCTAGTGGGTGGGAGAACACCAGGGCATAGGTAACAGGTCGTTCCAAGGGTGTACTTGGCCGCGCCATGCTTCGCCCAAGCATCGAACGGCAATCTACAGTGGTGAACAGCTACACAATGGTGAACAGTAGCTGTCCTACTCGACGGGCGAACACTATGGTGTTCGTGCCTTGGAGGCGCGCACAGCCAAGGCATGCGCTTTTGTGAACTCACGAGCAAACATGACCGAAACAAATCTCGACGACGTACAAGGCCTGATGAGGCACATTGCGTGTCACTCGACGCGGAGGTGAAGACCAAGGCAAACCGAGACCTCTCCGTCGCAGCAGACCTGTCAAACTTGGCGGTCAGACATGCCCGAGTCACACAACAGTGGCCGAGAAACAGAACTCTGGCCCAACAAAAGCTGCACCCGCCCACCGGTGACGAACCCTGCAAGACGGCAGGTACACTGTCATTCTCAACACCATCTTCTCCTTGGCTGGAACCAGCCGAGGAGCCAAGCCCGAGTACAACATTGCAGAAGGGTTATCATGTTTGCTTGATGTCAAGTTCCGCCGCAGCGTGTGCATTTTACTCTACGACTGTTGGAGAAAAAACTAACGCCGACGACATGCTGGCCGACCGAATGTGCGCCTTTGCCCGGACTTTGCCTACCCTGGCTGGCCCTGGGGCGTCCGTTGTCCTCCCTCCCTGTTTTCCCTTTTCCCTCCCACTCCGCATCGTGGTATCATGGCAAACAAAACAATCGCTTTTTTTCTTTTCTTTACTTCGTTCTTCCCGACTCGCCCTCTCTGGTGGGGCCTCGTTATACATACTCCCTGTAACCAAAGGATCATGTGGACTGTCGCTGCCTAAGAAGGTAGCGGCCGGACATGGTCACGCCGTGACGCTGCGCTGCTGTTCTCCGTCCCTTGGCTTCCCATGGGTCGAGCCGACGGCATCGCAGCCATGGCAGTCGAATGGTGAGATTTACGTGCATGAGCATCAGAGACTCATTCCTGCCGCAAGCCTATGTCGAATCACGAGTCGGTGATAACGGTCGGGTCTCGGTCAGCCGTGCTCGGTACAGGATCCGCGTACGCCTCGTCCTAGGAGACGCTCGTGCCGCTGTAAGCCTCCAGCTCGCGGAGACTCTGCATGAGTGCTGCATCCTTGAGGTCGTCATTATCGTCGAGACCTGAGTACATGGCCGCCGCCGGCAACTGATCGACCGCAGTGACCGGCATTTGCGGCTCTTGCGAAGGCTGCTGCTGATACTGCGGCTGTTGTGGCTGCTGCTGCTGCTGTTGCGGTTGCTGCTGCTGTGGCGATTGCTGCAGTGGTTGCGGCTGCTGCTGCTGCTGCTGCTGCTGTGGTTG